TCCTCTGTCGTCCCCTTCTCCTCCTGCCCTCAATTTTTCCCAGCATCAGGGTCTTTTCAAATGAGTCAGCTCTTCGCATCAGGTGGCCTAAGTATTGGAGTTTCAGCTTCAACATCAGTCCTTCCAGTGAATATTCAGCACTGATTTCCTTTAGGATAGACTGGCTGGATCTCCTTGCAGTCCAAGAGACTCTCAAGAGTCTTCTCCAACACCATAGTTCAAAAGCATCAATTCTTTGGCTCTCAGTTTTCTTTATAGTCCAACTCTCACATCCATACATGACTACTGGGAAAACCATAGCCTTGACTAGATGGGCCTTTGTTGACAAAGTTATGTCTCTGCTTTTTAATATGCTGTCTATACAGTAACTGTCTCATGTTAAATTGACTTGAATGTCTTTAATTTAGGAAATTCAAAAGCTCACCCATTTGCTGTCTCCACTCAGCCTTAGATTAACTTTGTGAGATAAAGAAGGAAGGTATAAATAATGAAACTAGAAACACAGAGATCTAAAAATGCATAGGTCCATCCTGTACTTGAGATCATCATCCTGCAATGGTGTAAAAATCCTGCTGATGGTGTGAAAACCACACTTACAACTCAGAACTCCTACAAGTTCAAATATTTGTTTTAGGTACAAGTATTTGTTTTGATCAGGAAACGTCTCCAAAACAAGCATTGGTTTCAATAATTGAAACAAAGCAATCATTTATTTTGAAATTTTCACTTAAAAAAAAAAGATGTGTAAGAAATATAGGGGCACAGATCCAATATACATAAACAGAGGATAATTTAAGTGGGCTGACTGGCAGGAAGTGGTTTAAATTGTTTCCAAAGTTTTATTTTGCTGTTTAGCTCAGGGGTCAGCCTGCCCTAGATGTTAACTAGTTGACCACATGTGGAGAGATAAGGGGGCAGGAAGGCTTTCCACATGTCCATTTCAAGCCAAACAAAACTGCACATAACTAGTGGATTCACTGAATAGATGAAGGCAGTGATGATTCACTTTTTAAAAGATTTTCTATGGGTTTCTTTTATAATAAAAAGCATGATTCCATTTACAGAAATTCAATTTCAATCCAATCTACCAAGAAAGTATCTAACTCTAATAAAACAAGGTAAAAAGTGAATTCATGTTCTCACTTCGGCAGCACATATACTAAAAAAAAAAGTGAGTTCATTTCAGATCAAATTGCAACAGGTTCTATGAAGATATAGCTTCCCTGGTGGTTCAGCTGGTAAAGAATCTGCCTGCAAGGCGGGAGACCTGGGTTCAATAACTTCAAAGAATTTTATGATCTGAAACAATGATAGGTAAAATGACCAACAGTTTACAGACCCATGAGTGAGGAAAAGATGCCAACTCTAATAAGCTACCCACAGCACTTCCAGTTCATCTCCTTGCTTTAGTTGTTACCTGCTTTTCCTCAGTCCTTGGTCATGCCTGGCTTTCTCTGCAGTTTCTACCATGCAACAATTAGATTCCAAACCAAAGCTGAAAAAGAAAAGACATATTGGCAATTTTAAGGTTAAGACCACCCCCCAAAAACAAACAAAGAGAAAGGTTAAAAATTCAGTGATTTTTGCACCTTTATCTTTGTCATGGGCTATTACAAGGATGGGCTCCCAAGGTGGCCCAGTAGTACAGAATCTGCCTGCCAATGCAGGAGACATGGGTTCGATCCCTGGGTCAGGAAGATCCCCTGGAGGAGGCATAGGCTCCCTACTCCAGGATTCTTGGGCTTCCCTCGTGGCTCAGCTGGTAAAGAATCCACCTGCAGTGTGGGAGACCTGGGTTCAATCCCTGGGTGGGGAAGATCCCCTGGAGAAGGGAAATTCTGTATTCTTGCCTGTAGAATTCCATGGACTGTATAGTCCATGGGGTCACAAAAAGTCAGACATGACTGAGTGACTTTCACTCACAGAGAATCCCTTGGACAGAGGAGCCTGGCAGGCTACAGTCCATAGGGTCACAAAGAGCCAGACACGACTGAAGCAACTGAACAGGCACATAGGTTATATATGAAAGTTAAGAGAGTAAATCCTAAGAGTTCTCACCACAAGAAAAAAATTTTTCTATTTCTTTCATTTTGTACCTACAAGAGATGATGGATGTTCACTAAATTTATTGTGAAATAATAATAGTGAAATTTATCATTTCATGATGTATGTAAATCAAGTCATTATACTGTACACATTCAACTTAAACAGTGATGTATGTCAACTGTATCTCCAGGAAATTGAAAGGTTAAAAAAAAAAGATAGTACAAATTCTTGTATGCTCTTCATCTGGATTCACCAAGTATTAATGTTTATCATCTTTGCTTTATTCATCTAATTCTCTATCTACATATTGAACCACTGAAGAGCAAACAGAGGCATTGTGACCCATTTACCCCTAAATATTTCAATGTGTATTTCCTAAGAAGAAGGACATTCTCTTACAAGACCACAATAAAATTATCCAAATCAGGAAACTTAATATGATTACACTTAGTTTCATACTAATACGAAACTTAATATGATTACAGTTTAAACACAATATGATAACAATTTAAATTTAAATCCAATTAAAAATTATAAATTTTGCCAATCCTCACAGTAGTGTTCTCACTACTGTTCTTCCTAATCCATGATCCAGTCCATGATCATCCAAGCATTTAGTTGTCTTGTTGCTTTAGTCTCTTTTCATCTGGTACAAATTCATAGTCTTTGTCTTTCATGACAGTAATCGTTTTTAAGATTATGGGGGGACTAACCTGGTAGTCTGGTGGTTAAGAATCCACCTGCCAACGCAGAGGACATGGTCTCAATCTTTGGTCGGGGAAGATTCTACATGCCGTCATGGGGCAACTGCTGAAGCCCTCGAGCTTTGGAGTCTGTGCTCTGCAATAAAAGCCACCTCAACGAGAAGCCCTCACACCGCAACTAAAGAGTAGTCCCGGTCTGCCACAATTAGAGAAATCCCATGAGCAGCAAGACCCAGCACAGCCAAAAATAAAAATAAATAAATAAAAAGATTATGGGGTAGTTAACTAGATTTGTCTACCTCAAATACAGGTTATGCATTTTTGGTAGAAATACCACATTATGCTATGTCCTTTTCAAGCTATCATAACAGGAGCTACATGATGTCAATTCCACTCATAACTCGTGAAGTTAATTTTGATCATTTGGTTATGGTGGTGTCCACCAAATCTCTCTATTGCAAACTTCTTTTTATCTTGTAATTGATAATTAATTTGTGGGGGTTATTTTGAATCTATGTAAATATTATTTTCCAGATCACACCCTTACTTTCTTATTTAGCATCTTTTGATGATTCTTGCATAAATCAATTTTTTATGGAGATATAATTCACATATTATAACGTTCACTATTTTAAAAAATATTTATTTTTTCCTTTATTTGGCTGGGTTGTTAGAACACAACCTCTCTCATTGTGGCCCTGGGCTTTAGTTGTGGTGCACGGCTCCAGAGTGCACAAGCTCCATAACTGCAGAATACAGGCTTAATTGCCCAAGCATGTAGGATCGTAGTTCTCTGACCAGGGATGGAACCTGAGTCTCCTGCATTGGAAGGCGGATTCTTAACCACTGGACCACCAAGGAAGTCCCAAAATTCACTATTTTAAAGTGTATGATTCAGAGGTGTACCCATCACCATTGTCTAATTCCAGAACATTTTCATTGCCCCAGGAAAAAACCCTACACCCCTTAGCAGTCATTCCCCTTTCCTCTGCTGTTTCCAGCCTCTGAGAACCATTAATCCACTTTGTCTTTATTGTTTGGGCTATTTCAGGCATCTCATATTAATGGATTCATACAATATGTGGTCCTTTGGGTCTTGCTTCTTTAATTGAAAACATTTTTAAGGCTCATTCATATGGCAGTTTTAATCAATCCTTCATTCCTTTTTGCCTAAATCAATCATTAGTAAGGTTCTTGAAAAATGATGATATTCTACATTGCTTCATCTACACTTACTATTGCTGTTGTTCAGTCGCTCAGTCATGTCTGACTCTTTGCGACCCATGGACTGCAGCACACCAGGCTTCCCTGTCCTTCACTATCTCCCTGAGTTTGCTCAAACTCATGTCCACTGAGTCCATGATGCCATCCAACCATCTTGTCCTCTGTCTCCTCCTTCTCCTCCTGCCTTCAATCTTTCCCAGCATCAGAGTCTTTTCTAATGAGTTGGCTCTTCACATCAGGTAGTCAAAGTATTGGAGTTTCAGCCTCAGCATCAGTCCTTCCGCTAAATATTTGGGGTTGATTTCCTTTAGAATTGACTGGTTTGATCTCCTTGCAGTGCAAGGGACTCTCAAGAGTCTTCTCCAACACCACAGTTCGAAGGCATCAGTTCTTCAGCGCTCTTATTCATGGTCCAACTCTCACATCCCTACATGACTACCACAAAAACCATAGCTTTGACTAGACGGACATTTGTCAGCGAAGTCTGACTCTGCTTTTCAACACACTGTCTAGTTTTGTCACAGCTATTCTTCCAAGGAGCAAGTGCCTTTTAATTTCATGGTTGCAGTCACTGTCCTCAGTGATTTTGGAGCCCAAGAAAATAAAGTCTGTCACTGTTTCCATTGTCTCCCCCTGTTTCCATTGTCTCCCCATGTATTTGCCATGAAGTGATGGGACCAGATGCCATGATCTTACTACACTTACTAGTTAATATTATTTTTATCTCCCCTTCTCAGGGAAGCACTTTAAGAAAAATTGCACTGTTAAGTTAATTTCAGACAGGGTTCCCCTGCCCTCAAGTCGTTTCCAATCTTAGATGAAAGAGCTTACAATGACCACCTTTCCGGGGGGTTACTTGATCACTCCTTCCCACTTGAACTAGCATCAGAGTCTCTTTCTGCCTGTCACCCCATAGGCTCCTCCCCCTCCTCCAGGTGCCCCTCCCGGCAGCTCAAGAGAAGGAAGTGACGCACCGGAAGTGTCCCTGTTCCCCTTGCAGTGGGGGGAAGGAATCAAACCCCCAAGATGGCGGCAGCGTCGGAGGAGCGGATGACTGAGGAAGGAGGCGGCGGTCACGGCGACGGCGGCTCCCCTTCGGCCATCGCCTCTACCCAGCGACTGCCCCCACCACCCCCGCCCCAGCCCCCGCAGCCGGGATCCCAGGCGCCCCCAGCCCCGGCGCTGGCTCCGGACCAGCTGCCTCAAAACAACACGCTGGTGGCGCTGCCCATCGTAGCCATCGAGAACATCCTCAGCTTTATGTCCTACGACGAAATTAGCCAGCTCCGTCTGGTGAGGCCCCCTGGGGACCCTTGCCGCCCTCTCCAAGAGCCGAGGTCTGGGGAGGGCCCGAAAGGGAAGAGCGTTCCCCGGGGAGGGAGCCCCTGGCGAGCTGCAGCCGCCGCTTAAGCACCAAACGCAGCCCTCCCGCCCCAGAGCCTCTCTTGGGGCTAGCCCGCGGGGCTTGTCCAGATTCCGCCCTTGCTTGGGGAGTGGGGGCGACTGCCTGCGGGAACTTGGCTTTGGGGGCTCGGGGGCTCTGGCCCCCGACCCGGAAGCAGGGCCACGGGTGGGGGCAGCAAGAACTGGGCTTCCAGCCTCTATCCGGCCTGAGTGTGGATGCCGGAGGAGGTCTCATCACCTGCCTTTTATATATCACTTTCCACCCCCAGGCTGGAGTTGGGGGCCAGCACTCCGAAGTAGGCGAGATCATCCCGGCTAGGTTTGGTTTGTCTGTGAGAAGAACGTATTGTTCCCCCTACCACCCAAGTTTCCTTGTTGGAAAAGATAAAGTCGGATCGGTCAGTCCTCCCAAAAGCCAGTAGAGGTTTGGAGGAATTCAAACTCGTTTTGGTAACCTCAACCCCAGCGCCTTGGTTGACCAATGAAGGCAATCCTGAGAAGTGACTATCGGGCTTTGCCTCCCCCCTGACACTTCCCACCCCGTCGTGAAGCACCTTGCCCCTTGAAAAGGTTTTTTTCCTCTCCTGCATTTCAATTTCTAACTAGTGATTAATCCCACCCGCCAGCTTTAGGAGAGGTTTTATACCTTAAAATCACAGTAATTCTGTCCATGATTAATTAAAATAAATAAATTTGCCTTTGGGATTTTCTTCATCCCAGAGGCTTCACTGAAGGTTCAATGAATATCTTAGTTCAGTCAGTTATTTTGCTTCCTCAGTGAATTTATCTTTAAGTGGTAAGAAAATTGAAGGAGGTGGACATTTTGAAATGATTACAAACCGTTTCTGTGTAGCAGCTAAATATGTGGTCGGGATTGTTTTTAAGAGGACAAAGACATCTGAATGTGCTGTGTATAGCGTTTTCTTAATAATCAATATACTCTATATTAGATTTACACCTTCAATTTAAAATTGATTATAATCGTATTTTTGAGATGCAAGCATATTTTTTAAAGGAGGCTATTAAATATTCAAACTGGTGAACAGTTTCTTGTCAACAGAGCACATCAACCATGCCAGTCTGCAGGATAGAAAATTCATTTGAAAAGTAATATTTCAAAATGATTGTCCCTTAATTTCCAAAACATGTTATCCTGGAATTTCTTGTAGAATCCTAACTATTCCTTCCATTTTTTCTAAAGAATGATATTTGATCAGAATTCATGGTATACATTCCTATTGCCTGGAAATTGGACATGACATTTGTATTGAGCCTTTCAGCCAGACAATGCCTTTGTAAAGCTTGGAATGTTCACCGTTCTGTTTTATAAGTATTGAGAAAAACTGGGGGGTGGGAGGGGTGTTCATTTGTTGTTCATTTTACTTCTTTAAAAATTAAAAACATTCTTAAAGGGGAGAAAACCAGCCTATCCTAGGGGACAGAGTTAAAAAGACATCCCACAGTTTATTAGTAAATGACATCTCTTTCAAGTGAAATACTCAGCTGCATTCTTATTTTTGAGCAGTTGTCTATTCTAGTATTTTAAAGATACAAATTTGTAGTTTCAGGTATTTTTTTCATAAGGAGTCCCTTACCACTCCCCTAAAAAGATTCAGCTCCCAGTTTTACTTCTTAAAGATGGTCTTTTCTCTGTTTTAGTAATGGGGAACTATTTCTTATTCCTTTCTTTACTTAAAGTTAATGGATAATTCTTAGATTAAGTGGGTAATCTTTTGTGGCGATTTGGAAGTGTCTTTGGTTTTAAATTCTTTGGTTCATATGTCATAAGGTGCAATTCAAGTAACATGAAAGATTCTTGCCACTAGGTGTCAGCATTAATTTAATTATGGCCATTAATGAAATTGGCAGTCTAGTGATAGTGTCTAGTATGTGCTTTACATGTCTTTTCTAATTTAAGTGACCATTTATACTTAACAGACTGTTTGCAAGAAAATCAATACCAGTGTGTATGCTGCTATCTGGCATATAAATTGCATAGTTTTTTTTATTGTCAAGTATTTTTTTGAGTAGAGTTAAGGTTGGGTGTACTTAGAAAAGAGAGATATTAAGAACAGAATTCGTTTCCATAAAGCTAAATGTCAACCATTCAGTAGTTACTGAGCTAGTTTATGTATTTGTCAGGTGCTTCCTTTTTTCTTCCTTCAGCTTACTTGCCCTGTTAGAGCCTTGGGCTTCCCAGACGGCTCAGTGGTCCAGAATCCACCTGCAGTGCAGGAAACACGAGAGACTCAGGCTCAGTCCCTGGGGCATGGTGATCTCCTAGAGGAGGAAATAGCAACCACTCCAGTGTTCTTGCCCAGAAAACCCCATGGACAAAAGAGCCTGGCGGGCTACAGTTTAAAGGGTGGCAAAGAGCCGGACATGACTGAGCACACACATTAGGACCTCAGTCATAACTATTGTTAACACCTAAATTAGAGGACAGGTCCATGTACTTACTGCTCTGTATTTTCTTTATATGGTTTGTCCCAAGTTGCTAGAATAACATTTTCCAATTATCTTTGCTTCCTCTTGCCACGGATAATTGAAATTTGACTCTCCAGTCTGGTTATTTCCCAAGGAATGTCCAGATCCCTTATTGAACTGAATCCCTTATTTTGTTTTGTTTTTTCTGCCATTGACTATTGCTCCCAAAATGTACCCAGAAGTTGGAAATCCTGGTTACATAAAAATAGTTCTTTAAATATTTAACTTCTCTAATATATTTAAAGTTGTCTGGATGAAGACACCTTTTGAAATGACAAAATGTGTACTTTGAGTTGTTTTCCAGTAAATCACATAAATTTGCGCTGATGCAGCATTAGTCTGTCACATAAGGCCCCCTGAGAGTTTCTGAAACAAGTGGCAAAGATGAAGGAAGGTCCTGCACCTATTTGCAGAGCACATCACAGCCCAATTGGAACAAATAACGTTGACTTGTGAGTACAGAGTTCTTGCTGGGAAAAAAAAGTATGGAAGGCTTTTTAAAACTTGTCTTAGGGAATTCCCTGGCAGCCCAGTGGACTGCCACTTTTTTTATAAAGAGATCCTATAGATTTTTCCGCTGTGGTTCTCGTGGAGCTCCTGTAAATGTAATGGAATCCTATTAGTGGTTCAGGACAGATTTGATTAAAAGTTCAATTCAAGTGTCATGCTTATTATCTAGAATGAAATTTTCCATTTGACAACAAAATAACATAAATCTATGTCTTTGTCCCAGGATATTTCTCTGGTGCACTCTAGCTAGTTAAACCTATTACTCATTTCTAGTTCCTTTCACATCTTTTCTTTAAATGTGTTTGAAAAACTCAGTTGTAGAGAGGGTTGACTGGTAGAAAATATGAAGGAAAATGGGAAAGTATTAATCTTTTTTTTTTTTTAAAGTAGGCAAGATGTCTTCCTTATATCTCTTTCTCTATATCAGTAGTTCTCAATTTTGTCTCAGGACACCTTTACACTCTTAAAAGTTATTGAGGACCCAAATTGCTTTCCTTTGAAAATTCTAAAATACGCAAGGATGCACAATGCATAATTCCATTAGCTGTCATTACATGTCATGTTGCCACACACATTCTGCTGTGTCTTGTGAGAGAATAAGCATGAAAATGGCAAATGACATCTTACTTTATGAAAATGATGTAGCATCACAAACTCTTGAAAGGATCTTGGGAACCCCAAGGGTCCCTAGACCACACTTTGAGAACCATTGCTCTGTATTGCTGTATTATAGAATATAATATTGCTGTATTATATATGTACTGCTGGGGGGTTTTTCCCCTACCATGTCATCATCAGGTTATTTATTTTATTAACAAGTTCTTAAGTATAGGTAAGACATTATATTTTGGGAATACTTCACTCCTGCAGATTCTCAAAGGTGTCCAATCAGTAACCCTGTCCACAGTATCATCACTGAGACAGAATGTACACAGCTTGCTTGAGCACATTTACAAAGAATCAGTATAACAGATGCATAGTAGTAAATACAAGAATGTTGAGGTTAATCAGCAGAGGCTTCCTCAGACTCATGAATTTTCATCCAGTTAGTAAAGATGGAAGAACATTCCCAGTAGGGAAAAAAAAAAGATATATAATTATCCTAATTGTTTTGTTCAAGCTAATATTAAATTTATATTTTCTTTCCAAGTGCATATTTAGGAGGGACACCAAGGGATTTTTAATTTGTTGTAGTTTTACCAGCAGACAATTGAGAACTCTCTGTCTCTGTATGTAGTTTATCTTAAATGGTCCATACCAAGAGGATAGAATTTTTTCTTATAAAAGATTAAAGTGTTCTTGTAAAAGAGATGGGAAGTTGTATAGGACTGGCTCATTCACTGTTCATTTTTTAAATGATTTTATCACCTCTGTCCATGGGATCACATAGAGTTGGACACAACTGAGCACGCATGCATCCATCATTAACTTTTTGCCACATTTACTTTCTCTTGTATGCTCATTCACCATTTGAAAGTAAGGTGCAAATACAGTGACATTTTACCCCTAAAATACTTCTGTATAATCACAATATCATCACTTCCAAGGTATTTAATATTACATTTTATATTCAGGTTTCTCAGTTGTCCCCAAAATGTGTTTTGATAGCTTGGAGAAGGGTTGGGGAGGTAGTTAAGTTCTTAAATCTAATAAAGCATTAGTCTCTTTAATCTGGAACATTTCTCCCGCCTTTTCACTGTTTTCATTCTTTCATGACTTTCTAAAGAATCCAGCACAGATGGCTGTGAACTATTCTGCACAGAAGATTTGTCTGATTAAGATGGATTATAGGAAGATCTTGGTCTAGGTCCCATCGCAAAACTTTAGTAGTGTGGCAAAATCCGCCCCCACTAAAGTCCTGCTTTCTAGATTCGTGCCAGCAGTTTCTATAG